TGGCCCAGGATCGAGCATTGTTTCGTTCTGCTGTGCATGGGGTCGCTATGAGTCGGTTCCGACTCGATGGCACCTGACAACAACAACAACAAGCTAGGCTGATTTAAAAAAAAAAAAAAAAATGAAGTCAGTTTAAGGAGATTCCTTCTGGAGGGCAGAGGGAGAATCAGAAACGTCCCATTTCTGATTTAATCCTCTGCTCCAGTATCTTTTCTATGGATGTTCCCTTAGATAAAGACATGTTGGAGCTTGTGAGAAATGATAAAGAGAATTTGAAGTCTAATTGTCAGCCAAGGGCACTGGAAGTAGACTCATTTGAAAGAATAGAAGGGAAGGAGCAGAAAGGTCACCCCCTGATGTATTTGCATGTACCCTGGCTAGGCAAGGAACTCACCCCCAAGTAGCTTCTTTGGGAGCTAGACAACTGTATACAGAAAAATATACTAATGAATATGTTCTTTTAATAAATGTTTTACTTATTTTTGGTGGTAATTGATATAACCAAGCATGCATGCATTCACAATCTCCACATGACCAGTTCAATGACACTGGTTACATACTTCCCTCACATTGTATCACTATGCCCCTTATTTCTACCCATCATGTGTCATCACCACTGATTTAGACTCTCGGCCCCTTGAAATTCCCACCCATGCTTTAGACGAACTCTTGTCAAACTCATATAGACAATTCTTTTTAAGAGTGCCATGCTGAAGGCAGGGTGTATTCATATATACAAGGTTGGCTTCAAAAAGTTCACAGTAAAAATGGGAAGAAACGACAAAGACTTTTTTTCCATGAACTTTTTGAAGCCCCCTTGTGTATCGTGTGTAGGTAGATAAATTTAGATTTTTTTTTTTTTTTTTTAAAGAGATGGTTTCCCGTGCAGATAATAAGAAAGGGTTAACTGCTTCTCTTGGGTCCTGAGCCAAGTCTGTCCCCCACCAGTTCCTATAACCGGGTTTCCTGAAATGGAGCAGGTCCCAGGTGCCTCTCCACTAATCACATCCTTGGAAATGGGGCCATGATGCTCAGATTAGCTCATCCCTTCACCTTCTTGAGGCTCTCTCCACCTGGAGCACAGAATCTGGGGCAGCTTTGCCACTCACCTCCCTCTGCTGTCTTATCAGGGGTCAGACAGTCCTGCTCTTGCAGATGAATGCTAGGTTATGGGGGCACTGCAGGACATAGTGGTGCTGACTTTTGTGCCAACATTTGTTCTCTCATTCGAAGAAGATGGATGGGCAAAAGAAGGATTCACTCTCTAGGACAATACCAAAGTTTGTATAGCAAGCTTTCTAGAGTGTTTTCTCCTCCTTGGCCCCCATTTCCTGTCTTTTCTTCCTCTCCTTGAGTGACTGACTGATGGTGGATAGCTTCCTGTCCTCCCTGACTGACCGTCACCCATCCATTGCACAGCGTCTGATGTTTCATCCATCAGTAGCAGGTGCTGGGGGCAGCCTAGAAGATTTCATCACTCTC